AATGTTTCTTTTTCAGTTCTGTTTTGAAGGGATGGAGGAAAGCGGCTCAGTAGGCCTGCCTGAACTCCTAGAACGTAGCAAAAATACATTCTTGGCTGATGTGGACTTCGTTTGCATTTCCGACAGCTACTGGCTGGGAACAACAAAACCATGCCTTACACATGGACTTAGGTGCGTCTTCTCGATAATTCACTTAAAAGAACACGCTTGATCAGACCTAGTCATTTAGAGGGATTACATCCTTCAAGATTGAGGTCACTGGTATTCAACAAGATCTCCACTCTGGAGTGTATGGAGGAGTTGTGTGAGTTAAAGTAAAACCTTTAGACCCAGAACAAATCCAGTACAATCTTCTATTTCTGTTCAAGATCCTATTAATTATGTGTTTTGATTTTCCCCGTGGAGGAACTAAATATGTAAGCAATTAGGCGAAGTACTAATAAGTTGAAAAGGTAATACATTAACGTTTCATACTTCACACTTTTTAACTTTTTGACTAGTACACAAATGTTAAGAATGTTCCCAAAAAGCTGTAACAACAGGCAATCCTTAGAGAGGAAAGTTTATAACAAAGATTTGAGATAAGCGATATGTTGTTGATGAAATGTATTTCATGCGCGAAGAGCACGCGGTGCTTCTTGCATTCCTCGTTCTTCATTTTTTCGCGACATTTTCATATAAAATTCAATATGTTTTGTTAGTTCTGATAGTGATGTTAATTTGTGATCTTTAATTTTTCAGGCATGAACCACTTCAGGACCTCATTTGGATCATGTCTCAGTTGACATCAGTAGATAATCGTATCCTCATACCAGGTGAATATACTTTCTTGGCAACTGGGAATTTCTTTATAAAAAACCTTGAATTACAGACAAAGTTACTAGCCTAATTAATCAAATTCCAATTAAAATTCGCTTTTTTATGGAGAGAATCGCTAGAGCACTACGAAACTTAGTCACTTAATCATTGGTGTTATGGTTGCTGATTCTCACCTTCAATCTGAACAAAAAACCTTTTGCTGTCAAAATAGTGATTTTAAGAAGTTTACCGAAAAGATTCAGAGGTAGCTTTACATATGGAAAA